ACAGAGCAGACAAGCCTGGACAGTTACTCACAGATAGATGAGCACCAGGCTTGTAGCCAGGAGAACCCAGCTTGCCAGGGAAAAATTTGGGATCAGGTCCATCACCATTTTCCTTCCCCAATTCTCTTCTCTGAGTTTTCCTTTTGGCTCTGTGTGTGGCTCCTTGCCGAGCTGTGCAGACACAGCTTTCCTGCCCTGCCCAGCACTGATTCACTGGGGCTGCCTGGAGTATTTATGTGCTGAGGAGAGAGGTGGGGCCAGAGCAGCAGCCAGTAGAAGGGCCACCTGTGCTCCTCCTGCAGCCGGAGGAATTTGGGTGCCCTCTCCACCCTGGCGGTTGGCAAAGGATCATGCACACCACGACTTTGACCTCCTTTGAGTTCATATTCTGTGCTCAATTAATAAACAACTCAATCAATCTTACCAACAAGCCCAAAGGTCGTGGGTTCTTCTCAGAAACTGAAGTGAAGCCATTGGCATTAAATCTCTATCCTGCTCTTGTCTCCATGCTGCCATCATTCCAAAATACTTGAAATCCATCCAAACATGCTATACCTACAGATCTTTGCCCAGGTGGTTTTCTCTGCCTCGAATCCCCTGTGCCCCATAGAAGTCTCCTACTCTTCATTCAAAACCCGGCTCAGACAGAATCCCTTCTTTCTGTTAGACACTTTCCTCACAAACTTCCTCAAACACATGTAACCACCTCCTCCTCTGGGCTACTTCTATTCACCCCACACAACAGTTATTGCCATCTCTTCACTCTAGCACAAGTTTCCTGTACTAGATCGTGAGATTCTCAAGGGAACAGTCTGGGGCCATTCACCATAGTCTCCTTAGTCTCCAGCAGAGTGCTTTCCATGGAGAGGGCTTGCAGCTGTTTGGTTGAGTTGAGTTGGGTGACATTGCTGGGTTCTTCTGTGTCATTTTTCTGTGACTGTTTGTGACCACTCCACCTTCCTGTATTATTATACAGCAAAAAGGCTTGGCTGGGCCTCAGCTGCCATCACTGCAAGTTCACAGTGATCTACCACGATTCTGCTGGCATCAGGGCCCCCAAACGAGCCACACAACATGCAAGATATGGAGCTGGTGGCTGCANTAATAATAATCCCTTATGTGCTTGTAGCATCCAAAGCTTAAGTAACCTCCCCTCCATTCTCTCTCTTGAACTTCAAAACAGATAAGGAAAAGAGAGGCCTGGTTCACACTTCAAGTCCAGGATGACAGAGCAGACAAGCCTGGACAGTTACTCACAGATAGATGAGCACCAGGCTTGTAGCCAGGAGAACCCAGCTTGCCAGGGAAAAATTTGGGATCAGGTCCATCACCATTTTCCTTCCCCAATTCTCTTCTCTGAGTTTTCCTTTTGNATCCAATCGTGCTATACCTACAGATCTTTGCCCAGGTAGTTTCCTCTGCCTAGAATCCCCTGTGCCCCATAGAAATCTCCTACACATCCTTCAAATCCCGGCTCAGACAGAATCCCTTCTTTCTGTTACACACTTTCCTCACAAACTTCCTCAATCTTATGTAACCACCTCCTCCTCTGGGCAACTTCTATTCCCCCCACACAACTATTATTGCCCTCTCTTCACTCTAGCACAAGTTTTCTGTACCACATTGTGAGATTCTCAAGGGAACAGTCTGAGGGCCATTCACCATAGTCTCCCTAGTCTCCAGCAGAGTGCTTTCCATGGAGAGGGCTTGCAGCTGTTTGGTTAAGTTGAGTTGGGTGAGACTGCTGGGTTCTTGCATGTCATTTTTCTGTGACTGTTTGTGACCACTCCACCTTCCTGTATTATTATACAGCAAAAA